AGTTCCATCTATAATAGGATTATGACTATGTATCTTCAAGAAAATCCAATCAATACAGCTATTATTCAAATGTATTACCCAACCACGAAGTTAGTGATTAAGAAATTGAGGAATTCTAGCAACATCATCAGTCAGAAATTGATCAAACATGCAACCAAGGTACATTGATAATTATAGACACTTAGAAAGTGAAAATCAGAAACAAAGTGGAAGGAACAGGAGTTTCAGAATATGGTCCTAGTGAAAGAAACCAAAGTGGAGGTTGCATGATAGAATTTTGCAAGACCAACAACTTGTTTACAGCAAATACATTTTGCAGCAACATAAACAACAACTAGACACATGGACATCTTTGGACTGAACACACAGAAATCAAATTGACTACATCTGTGGGACAAGACCATGGAGAATCTCAATATCAGCATCTAAAACCAGGCCAGGGCCCGACTGTAGTACAGACCACCAATTGCTCACCTGTAAGTTCAATTTGAAACCGAAGAAAATTAAAACAAGCCCAAACTAAGCTCTGTGCCATCAAGTCAATTCTAATTCATATGGACTGCATCAGGCAGGGTAGAAGTGCCTATGTGGATTTCCAAGATTAACTCTTTACTAGAGTAGCAAGCCTTCACAGGAGTTGCTGGACTGCTGACCTTGAAGTTATCAACACAGTGTGTAACCAATCAAGTCTATCCCATCCAAATTGCAAGATCATCTTAAGAACAGACATGTTGCCTAGAACACTAGTGACAGAAAACCCAATGAGCTGTGGGAGGACATCAAGAACCTCATTCATGAAAAAAGCAAAAGGTCATTAAAGGGAAAGGAAAGAAAGTATAAAGTGGTTATCAAAGAGAGACTGAAACTTGCTCTTAATCGTAGGGTAGCTAAGACAAACGGAAGAAAGGATAAAATCAAACAGCTGAACAGAACATTTCAAAGGGCAGTACAAGAAGACAAAGTCAAATAGAATGAAATGCGTAAGACCTAGAATTAGATAACCAAAAAGGAAGACCATGGTCAGCATTGGTGAAAAATTAAAGAAAATTTGAGCCTCGAGTTGCAATATTGAAATATTCTATGGACAAAATATGGAATGTTCCAGGAAGCATCAAAAGAAAATGGAAAGAATACACATAGACATTTATCAAAAAGAAGTAGTCAATGCTCAACCATTTCAAGAGGAAGCATATAAGCAAGAATCAATAGTACTGAAGGAAAGAGTTCAAGCTACCCTGGAATAATTAGTCAATAACAAGAGTCCAGGAATTGATAAAATACAAACTGAAACGTTTCAAAAAGTTGACAAAGTGCAAGAAGTACTTCCTTCTTTGCCAGAAAATTTGGAAGACAACTACTTGGCCAACTGACTGGAAGAGATCATATTTGTACCTATTTCAAAGAAAGCTGACCCAACAGAATGTCCAATTATAAGACAATATCAGTGATATCACATGCAAGTAAAGTTTTGCTGAAAGTCATCCATCAAGGGTTGCAACAGTGCATTGGCAGGGAGCTATTGCAGCTTCAGCCTGGATACAGAAGAGGATATGGAACTTGGGATACCTTTTCTGATGTCAGATGGGTCTTGAGTCAAAGAAGAGTGCCAGAAAATGTACTAGTGTTTTATTGACTATGCCAAGGCATTCAACTGTTTGGATCATAAAACAGGCAAACAAACAAAACCTGTGGATAACCTTCAGAAGAAAGGGAACTCCAGAACACTTCATTGTGCTCCTGAAGAACTTGTACAAGGACCAAGAGGCAGTCATCCAAACAGAGCAAAGGAAGTCTGCATGATTTAAAATTGGGAAAGGTGTGCATCAGGGATGTATACTCTCACCTAGCTTATTCAATTTGTATGTTGAGCAAATAATCAGTGATGCTAGATTTTATGAAGAATGTGCGGTCAGGATGGCAGGTAGGTTTATTAACAACCTAACATAGGCAGATGACACAGCCTTGCTTATGTAAAGTGCGAAGGACTTGAAACACTTGCTGATAGACATCAAGGATTGTAGTCTTTAGTATGAATTATGTTTCCATGTAGAGTAGATCAGAATCCTTCCATCTGGATCAATAAGTAACAGGATAAATGGAGAAAAATTGAAGTTGTCAAGGATTTTGTCTTGTTTGGAGCTAATCAATGCTCATGAACGCAGCATCCAAGAGTTCAAAAGATGTGTGGCCTTGGGTAGATCTGCTGCCAAAGACCTCTTTAGATATTAAAATGCAGGGATGTTATGGTGATAGTCAGATGCATCTAACCCAAGCCATGGTATTTTCAATTGCCTCATATGCATGTGAAAGTTGGATATTGAATAAGGTAGACTGAAGATTGCTGAATTTGACTTGGGTGGCTTGCAAAGAATATTGAAATACCATGGGCCAAGTCTGAAATAGCAAAAAGACAAGTCTGCCTTAGAAAAAGTACAGCCAGAGTGTCATTGGAGAAAAGGATTGTGTGATAGTTACATAATTTCATGTCGACCTGAAGATATATAAAAACGTAGGGGCGGTATTCAACCTGTCAATCAAGTCACAGCCTGATGGTATCTCTTTGTGGGTGTGGCCTTCTCATAAGAAGGGCTCTGGGAACCTCCCCTGCTCTCTTTGCCTTCACCTGCCTGCTGTGGGCCATTCTGATAGTTTCCAGAGCCCTGTGATGTTACCACCACCATTGGATCCACACACCTTTGTACCCACCAGCCTGTGATATCCCTGAATTCTGCATCATTGCATATGATTGCTTGAGTCTGAAGAGGGACTTATGGACAGACAGGGCTGTGATATTTTCTTGGTATATCATTACTTCTCGATATAAAGCTCTCTCTGACACATATCTGAGTGTCACTGGATTTGTTTCTCTAGTCAACCCAGCCTAACACAGATGGCAAGACTTCATCTTACATACTTTGGACACGTCAGGGGAGACCAGTCCTTGGAAAAGGACATTATGCTTGGTAAGTACTGGAGGCAGTGTAAAGGAGGCAGGCTCTCAACAAGATAAACTAACACAGTGGTTGTAACAATGGGTTTAAGCATAAAAATAGGTGGATGGCAAAAGACTGGGCAGTGTTTTCTTCTGTTGTGTATACGGTTGTTATGATCAAAATCAACTCAATGGAATACTAACAACTAGTTTATCGAGAATAATGTTCCCTTCCAGGGACTAGTCCTTCCTGACAGCGTCCAAATAGCTAAGAGGAATCTTGCCATTCTTGCCTCTAAAGAGCCCTCTGGCTATACTTCTTCCAAATTTGTTTGTTCTTCCAGATTTGGTAGTGCTTCTGGGAGCCCATG